TTAACTCCTCGATCGATTTTATTGCACTTTAGAATCCTTTTTAACGGCAGGAATGATCTTCGGTTTCGGGTGGCCCACTTGGATGCCTTGTGAATTTCCTCTGAAATAGTTCACGAGTTAAAATTGTAAAACTCTTGATCACCACATGAGAATAGCAAGAAGTAAAAAATCGCGAAAAAAAAAAAAAAAACTACCCTACTGAGAGGAGTCTTACAGTAGCCTTGAAGGATCATGTGCGGAATCCTGAGCAAAGGATGGTGGTGTGACATCAGATTCCACCGAAAATGGAGGGTAATCCTTGCATTACCTTTTCCTCAAGTGAACTCTCACTGGTTTTCAAAAGCTAGAAAAAGCAAATAACAATTGATGGCAGTGCTCGGCTACGTTTGCAGGTAGTGCTGTGCCTGCATCTAAACCAGGGCACATCGTTGTTGGGGAATCCCCAATAGGGGGGGGTCGTATTTGGCCGCCAGGAGAGGGGGGTCGTATTTGGGCTGGGAAAAATTTATTTTGATAGTTGATTTTTCTCGCTTCACGGACGTTGTAAAGGGGGGGGGGTCGTACTTGGTCATTGTTGGGAGAGGGGGGTCGTATTTACGTTTTGCGTTGTGGGGAGTAGCTTGGATGGGGAGCTGTTTGGCGGTTTCTGTTTATGCATACTATAATCCCCCCCTGCTCCCTCCCTTTCCCGTCAGCAAAACTTTTGGAGAAAAGCTTTTCGGGGGAAATTTCGGAAAAAAGTGGCAGGATGTTGGGAAAAATCTGAAAAGAGGGAGGGGGTCGTCCTGTTTCACATGTGCTGTTTCACACCCCCCCCCCGATCTGTATTCGATGAGTCGAGAGGAGGAACGGAGAATCCCGGGGGGGGGGGTGCGTTACCACACCCCCCTTAAAAAAACGAGGGGGGTCTACCAGGATGACTTGATAAAAAATCCCCAACCAATGATGTGCCCTGAACTAAGCGAGTTTTATGGAAAATTTTGATTCGCAAGTTACAATAGTTTTTTTTTGGAATCACACACGAAACTGTTAAAACTTAAATAATACTGGGCGACCACAACGGGTGGCTGGAAAATGAAAATGCAGCCAGAAGTCTCTCGAAATCGAAAGAAATTCATATAATAACAATGGTATGTGTCCCCAAAAAGGAAGTTCCGAAAATTTCTTCGAAATATTTGAAAGTTTGGTTACTTCCGGGGCCCCATATGCCTCAGCTGAGGGTATCTGTTGGCTGATACGGACATCCCTTTCTACTGTTTTCAGGCTTGCCCTCTTTTCTGCCGCTTCACGAAGCTTCTTTTGCCTATAGCCCTCATAGTCTTCTTTTATCTTCTCCCTTATCGTTTTACAGAGAGTCCGATATTTGTCGCTGTGGACCCTTCCTTCAGCCTTCATACGTGCCTCAACTGAGACCCCTCTTTGGCGATGTTTAGACCCGAGAAATTTTCGAAAGATGTTCAGCGAAAGGCTGGGAGGGTTTTGGCGCTGACTAAACTGAGCCATATCGAAGCTCGTAACACTGCCTAGTTGGGAGTGCGCAGAAGAGCAGACGTGACGTGGCTTAGTGTTGCCGGGAGGTTTCCTCTCCTGAAATACGAGGCGCCTGTGTTCAGATTGAAATTTCGGAGACTCATCATGATTGAATTTTTACAATATTGCCGGCGCCAGCCCTCACTGCACTATTCATTGAAGAAAGCAAGCCACAGCCCCCCTGACACGCCCTGGCATCCACAGCGAACAGGACACTAGATAATTAAGACATCTAGGGACAAAGTTGCAGTAAAAAAAACTGGTTTCTGTCAACGATTTTCCAGTGATTCTTTTTTCAAAATACCCACTTTTTACAAGAATAACTAAATATGACATAAATACAGCACTGTAGAATTCCAGCCCAGTCTCAGGAAATTCTAGTCACTGAGGATAATCTTTTAATCTCTTTGACTCATTTTTCTTCTTTATAAAACTCTAGCAACGCTTTATTAGTTGCAAGCTTATTTGGTGTTTATTTAAACTACTTAGCTCTTGTAGATTTTCTCTGCCTGCTTATTGTTATTTTCAAAAAACTGCTTCATCTGGCGAATGTTATAAGTTGAACTTTGTTGCTCTCGAAGTGTGTCCGGTAAAATAAAAGCAATCCTTACTAGCAACAGCGAGCTTGCAGTGTTCCACCAATCTCCAATATAGCATCATGCTTAATTAGATTCCGCGAGGAAGGGTAATGCTTCTACTGATTGGAATGGCAGCCTGGACAAGGTTTCAGCGGAACTGGACGATTTACAGACTAAAAGCTGTAGGCTTTTTCTCAGTGGGGCTCAGTATTGGAGTAATTCATATTGGGACCAACCAAAAACCGTCCACTCTAGGAGGAGATTAAGAGCAGGCACGTCATTAGTGGGATTTGGTCGAGATCCCTTACCGCCTCCCCCCCTAAAAGGTTGGGCTCGATATCGACTCCTCCTCCGAACGCATCGAGCTTCGAGGGTGAGAGCATTATGTAGCACATGTAAACGGACCAGAGTTACAGACATCGCTTGTGGAACACATAGGGGAGTCGTACTTTTTCTGTGGTGAGGGTCGGCAGTGGGCCCCCATCGGAGATAGGGGTGGGGGTCGTTACTTTTTTCTGTGGGAGGGGTCCCTGGCGTGGGCCCCCATTTCGCGAGTGGGGTTGTACTCACACACGCTACATTCCGCCATATCCTATGATCCTGTAGCCTGAACGGGACAAACGGCGAGAGAAAATCTTCCCATCCTACCCACCATTTTCCTAGATTTCCCAACTTCTTACCTGTTTTCCCAGTTTTTCCTGAACTTCCCGGAATTTTTCGTAAATTTTCCCCCAAACTTTTGCTGTTGGGGTAGTGGGGAGGGGGGTGGCGTAAATCCCACATATGGGAACTGGAAAAACAGAAACAATGTCCAAAAGGCTAGAAGGCAAACACGATCTCCCTCTCCCAACAACAGGCTAATACACCCCCCCCCTTTCTTTATAGCGTCCGTTGAACAAGAAAAATCGAGTATCAAAATAAAATTTTTCTCAGACCAAGTACGACCCTTCCCCCCCCCCAGCAAACAAATACAGCCCTCCTCTTAGGGAATCTTCAACGATGATGTGCTTTGTTTAAGGTATCAATATTCATCCATGAGTTTGATATTTTCTGAATATTTACTGAACAGAATTAAACTACCTTATTTAAAAGATCACACTTGAATACACATAGACGCTCCACACACATCTCTATGTAGTGTATTCAAGCTAGCTCCCCCCACACTTGTCGAAGCATAGCAGTGCTCCGTACAATCATGCACAGAATGGAATACAGGTACCGTGAAACACAGCTAGCTCGCCAATCCCGCCCAATGCTTTTTTACGGGTTAGGATTCCCCCCTTCATCACATCCGCTACGTAAAGCGCCGCGTGTCCGGCGGGCTCCTCGCGCACTTTGCCGAGTCTTCTATTTGCCGCTTTCGAATACAAGTAAACGCAGCAATTCCTGTGGGATAACATCGAGAAGGTGCTGCAAAATTAATACAGAAGATGATGAACGATGTGTCAGAATTTAAACAGCAACTGGCCACTCTGCTAATCATCCCCGGATGCCGCGATGTCGCAAACATCGAAAATTAAAAAGCGCGCATACTCGTTACTTTGATACAAGCAAAACGCAATTTCCTGATGCGAATAAAATTGTAGGTGCTGCTCATGCTTCAAAATCCATGTACAAGGAGATGAAGATGATACACATAACTAGAATGAGGCACAATCCGAATGTAAATGTAAATTAAAACCAAAAACGAAAAATCAAGAAATTCAAAATTAGTTAAGTCGCCGTTAAAATTTCTACGATCGCGAATTCCGCGCCAAACATATGATATATGATTAGAACGGTGGGACGCTTGGCTGTTTTTATTATGCTTATGGTGTGGGAATGCGCGGCCCTTGATGGATACTGCAGATGCAGCCGAGTTGCTCTTGAGTTCTGCCCCTTGTCATCATCTTCTGCTCTTATTTTGTAGCACCTCCAATGTTATCCGCATCAGGAAATTGCGTTTTACTCGTATTTGAGAGCGCCCAATTAAATGGAGCTGGCAAAATGCCAATGATGCGCATGCGACACTGCCTGCGCTTACGACGGATGGTTCCGAAGGACGGACATCATGCGCCGCAAAACAGGGCACAGCATTGGTTGGGGATTCCCTATGGGGGGGGTCGTATTTGGCCGTCAAAAGGGGGGGGGGTCGTATTTGGGCTGGGAAAAATTTATTTTTATAGTTGATTTTTCTCTCGCCTTGCGGGACGTTTGTAGGGGGGGCGTCGAATTTTAGTTGTGGGAGGGCGCGGTCTAATTTACTGGCTGAGAAATAGTTGGTGGTTCACTGCAGGATTTATGAATTTAGTGTGATATAGATACTATGCTAGCGCCCGTATCTGATGTACCCGTCACACTAGCTGTACTACATTACCCCCGCTCGACTTTTCGCGCAGTTACAAACCACAATCCACAGTTAGCCATTGCAGATAGGCAGCATCGTACCGAGACCATGAGGGGGGGCGGTCGTATCCAGGCTCACTGGAAAAAAGCAGGGGGGCGGTCGAAAAAGCCTGCGACCAAATCTCCATTCGAGAATTGTGCCCTGCCGCAAAAAGGTGTAAGGCGGAGCATGGAGGAATTAGCGTGTTTCACGGTCCTGTATCTCCATTCCTGGGCATGTTTGGGCGGGGGGACCACGACACATCGACAGCTGGGGGGCTGATAGTCTCATACACCCTCAATGTGTTTGAGCGTACCATGTGTCTTTAAATGTAGTTGAACGAAGCACTTATTTATAACACACTTGGCATTGTTCCAAATAAAAAAAATTCATAACTTCTGAAACCTGAGATATCATTAATAGGGCCAAACGTGTTCTGTAGATCCAATACTATCAAGTTTCAGTTGTGCACTGACAATGCCGACTACTTCTCAGAAACGAATTCATGGAGCGGCTACAGTGAGCGGATGGTCATCGTCTCGACGGATATTAAAGAATGCGCGGGTAAACTGCGAAGTACGGTAACGTTCTCCTGGCAATACTTCATTCATTTCAAAGGCAGTATTCATCAAACTATCCTACAAAAAAATTGCACCAGATACTGAAAGTTTTGTTCCCTGTCTACTGTAGTGTACCCTCTCAGTTTTGTCCCCATTCTTCAAAAGCTCGAAAATAGTGAACCTTAATTTGAAGGTACCGCCCACTTAAGTCCAATTGTGTTGCATCCCCAACTTACTTGCAGACGTTGTTGATCGGTGTACTAATCAGGAAGACACTTTAAATATGAATTTTTGTCCACTACCTCGCCTCTTTGATTGCCGCGGAATGTACTTACTTACTGAGCTGTTGAAGCGACATCGTTCTATCGTGGGGCTTGCTCCAAATACGTTTCCACAAAAAGGCAACTGTAACGATTTTTGATGGAGCACGTAGGCACGCCCTCCCCTTCACCGCGATATGGAGTAATTTCTGTTCACTGCGCGTAGTAAGAGTCATGATAAAGGATGAGATGCATCAGTCCCGATTTAATAATAGGAAATGAATCTCAACGTTCTGTCATTCCGTTCTATCGGGAAACGGAGGGATGAAACAGGGAAATAGCGGGAATTGTGACTTTATGAACTCTTTGGTGGCTCAAGCAGATTTTTGCCTGTAAAAGTTTTCTTCTTGTGCGTTTACTTGCTTGATTACTCTTACTCTGCAGATCCATATAAATCCTATACCTATTTTGCACTTTGATATTTTGTTCCATATAAATCCTATACCTATTTTGCACTTTGATATTTTGTCTGTTTTCTACTTTCAGTTACTTTCAGCTTTGGTGACGAAATTACAAGACATCGCTCCGAGTTATGATTACGATGAGAACACACCAGGAAACGGGTTTAGGTTTGTTTACTGGAGTAAACGTCTTTACATGATGTTCCTGTTTCACTAATAGATAAAAAGGACTATAGCGTCATCTGACGTCGTTAAACGCTGTGATACTCGTTCTCATTCGGTGTTAATGATGACGAGGCATGCTCCATATTTACAGGGGCTTTATAGACGTTTAGCGTGCCTCACG